TTTGGTGAGATGAGCCAAAAAATCGGACCACCGATCCCAAACACGGAGCGAAGAATTGTGTGTACCTACCGCTAGAAAAACAGCTTCACTAGGTGTACGGAGGCCAGCCGTCCCTAATAATCGAACACCACATCATTTGGACGGATGTATCACGTGCAGGAAACGGGCCAAACGAAGGCATGCCCTGATTGATCAGAATGCCAGCCAATCCGAGTCAAGCACCTTTGACAGACGCTTCTCGCCCGCTCACGGTGATTCTAGCACGACCTTGTGGAACACTGTGATAACCCTATAAATACAGTTGTAATGATTCTCCTTTTGTCTCCATAAAGGGCTATGTAGAGCTACCGTGCCTTTTGATATACCATAGTGGACGGAGCAGGTAGCCAAGGGACCGACACAGAGTTGCACAACCGTCCATCAAGACGCAACACTAGGTCACTCTCCACAGATAGGTTAGTAATTCCTTCGTTGGTTGGTTACTGCATTGGTTATTGTCCTCCTGATTTGGTGAATAGATACATACCTTCAAAAACCATTTGAACGAAATGTCCGGGCTCGTTTTGACAACCGTAGCCAGGGCGGGATGACGTTTCATTGTAGATGATGCTGGTAGTCTCATCCTCTGAGCAACCACAAGTATTCCGAGAAGTGGTCGCAGTTTCATGCAATAGCCTTATGATGAGGAAACTTCCGCAAGTGACGCACGTCACCTTTATGTGTTGTGATAAATTAGCGATTGGTAGGGTAATTCGAATTCTTGGCGTTCCGCAAACTGCATATTCTTACTGTCCTACCCTAGCGAAAAGATTATGAAAGAAAATAGATGTATCATAACAGGGTTTTTGCTTACCAGACTGCCGACCTCTTACAAACTGTTACGATGGTCCTTCTTTTCTTATTGTGGCAACAACTGGTTCGACAACAGCTGTGAAGAGGCGTCAGCTTCGAAGCTACTTTTTTCTCCACACCGTTTGGCATGATAAATTAATCGACTCGGATGGGGAAATTCACAACAAGAACCGCAAAGTTTCCCAGGAGTAAGGAGGCCAACTTATCGAAATTGTCAACGGGACGAATGTCGGTTTCCGAAAAGCTCAACCGTACCACACCCCGCTTATTTGAGACTCTTCAGGTGGGCGCAGATAGGCTCCGTTGTTTTTTACCTTTAGGCTGTTAAAAGGTATCATCCATACGCCACTAACCGACTTTGCACTGAATTCGTTGGCTCTAGTGAAACGGTCTGACCGCTCACCAATACATTACGAGAACAACAGGTGCTGAGCACAGTTGGTTTCCTCTGTGCCCCTGAGGCGAAATACGGCCTCTTTTACTGTACAGTGATCGTCGCAGTTAAAGAAGAACAAGGAAAGGGCGTTATCCAACAAAGACACCAGTGAGCGGTGATTAAAATATTGGTCTGCGATAATCGTCGTGGCACCAGGACAGGAGATACAGAGTCAAGCACACCATGACGGGATGTACAGACTATCCATAGTGCCTGGATGCAGCGCACCTGAACAAAAATCGGTCATTTAAACACCCGAACGACTGTTGCCCCAGCGGCAACCGAAGTTCGACTAGTAATTGCCTTTGAATTCCTTTCCTGCACTCTGTAGGTGGTCTCCAGTGAACTTGATGAGTTATTTGTTTCCATCAGAGTCGGTAAATCGGTAATCATCAGGTCCTTTATGAAGGTCAATGACCATTCAAATTGACTACCCTGTCGATACCGAATGGTCGCATATATCAAGTCAGTACTGAAGATCTGTCAGTTGAGAAATATTCAGAACTGATCGGGAGACTATTGTTTCACAAAGTATACCAGACTTTTCTGAAAATTGGGAATCTGCTTCATCAAACATCATTCATTCAGGTGGTGTTGAACCCATCTGCTAAGAACAAGCACAAATCATTCGTCCCTGGCCTGATGTGGTCTTGCGGCATTCATTTAATTTTTTACCGTCCACATTTCCTAAATTTTGCACCTATCGCACGATTTTCCCTCCCGACAGATTGAGAATATGGCATCTTCGCATTGTGTTGATGGAGCCTTCAATGACAAGAAGACAGACAATTTGGTGGGGCTTTACCCATGCCACCATCAAAAAGGAAATCAGGTAAGTTGAAGAGGTGTTTGTTCGGGCTTATTCCACCTGGCACAACTGAAGTGGGCTGTTGGGTATTCTTAGACAGACCCTTTCAGACACGAGAACTATCAACAGGAACGCCCTACCGTGATCTCAGTCGATTGCTTTTGTTTCTCTGCCCTGCCTCTATCAACGCTTCTCTAGCCTCCTCTTTGAAACGAATGCACTCGGTGACAAATTCGGATCACTTCATCACAATCTCGATTCACTAAGACCCCACCGTGCCAACCATGTGGCTTCCTTTAATCTTTCAGGGAGGAGGCATAGTCGAAGTAACATTACCGCGTTGTACTGCATGCTTCTGTTGGTCTTCAGTTCGTCTGCTGTTGGGCGGAAAACCACATCAGCTTGACAGGGAATTCTTTTCGAACATGGTGTCTAGACTGCGCTGCTTTGTCTAAGTCCATGCTTCTCCGTGGACTGTGTGTGCGTACTGACAGCTCAGTTCCCCAGTCACCACGTAACAAAAAAATCTCTCAGCTGTAATACCCTTCCGGTGCCTAGCTGCCATGCTACCCGAAGGAAGCACGAGGGCTGGGAAACTGCCAGGTTGCCCAAGCCTAGACAGGGAAAGTCGAGAGGCAGAGGTCAGGTTCGAACCACGGACCTTCCGGTCAATAAATTCGTGCTCTAACCACTTGAGCCGTCTCGCCTCCTCCACCGAACAAAACCTCACGGTGACAAGCTCTCTGTTACGACCACTGGTGTGACGGTCACAGATTTATGGCGCAATAGCTCCGGCCAACAGCATAGTACAGCCAGCATGTTTTGCCACAAAATTTCAAGTCACTGTGGAAATTTTCTGATAGCGGAACCATAGAACCACTGTAAAACCAGCTTGTCGTCCACAAATCGTTTACCAAGCGGCATGCTGTTGGCGAAATATCACCCCCAGGAAAACCATTACGTTGTTTGTAGGATTCGGCATGCTGTTGGCGAAATATCACCCCCATTACGTTGTTTGTAGGATCGAAGCCCATACTGTAGAGTACGGGCGTCCGTGAAATCCGCATGTTGTCCTTTATCTACAGCATGCAATGTGACTCATGCTTCTGTCGTTGTTGGGCACCTCTTGGTATGAGCCTTGCGAATCTTTCATGTTCTGTTAAGCCCACGTCGAGTTGTCTTGATGTTTGCCCCCTATTTGCTGTGCTCGGCAAATAGCACATTCCAGCATTTAAACTTGTTCTGCATTCGTCCCTTAGAATGCCGTCCCTGTTTCTTATGGGATGACTTTGTATGATGTTTTCTGTCCCTTAGAATGCCGTCCCTGTTTCTTATGAGATGACTTTGGTGTTTTCTAAATGAAAGTTCGTACTAATTTTATGATTACGCAGTACCCTCTGAATGACTTCAGGGGTAGCGGTGCTGTAGGATCAGACGCACTGGTCTTGGTTCAGGTATTTTATTTGCTGAAATGTGCGCGAGAAACTGTTTCGGATGACCCTTTCTGTGTAGGCCTTTAGTTGAACTGTTGGGTATATCCTTAATTGTACATATTTGTGCTCTGTGTGTAATCGAACCCTTCATGCGCAGCAAGTGTATCGACCTAAGAAGCGATCTAATTGTGTGTCGGCTTGTGATAAATCTTCATGAGAAGTTTGTTTGAAGACGATTTGGGTCCTCAGTCAAAGCCTTTGGCCCAAAAGCCTAGCCGTAAGGCAGCGGTGTTGGGTTGGAATTGCATGTACATTACCATTTTTAAGGAACACGTCGCCACACAAGTTCCCACCACCAATCTGGAGGGCCAGGAGACTGTGTTCGTCAAACCTCTACCCATTGACCAACCTGGTATGAGTGTCCCGCGGACACCCACCAGTATAGCTCAATGGGCCGCCAAAGTACCCAAACCGCCTCACCAAGGTAAGGCCCAGTCTTTCGGTGACGGTTTTAGAATTGCGAAAGTGCTGTCAACATAGCGTATATGTAATTTCGAAGTTTGTGTTAGTCTTGTATGTTAGGAGACTAAATTGTGGCAAAACAGGTAGGCACCACGAAGGGTAACAATAAAATCCATTCCGACACCGTCGGCTCGTTCGTAAGGGGTAGTCTCCAAAGGAGTAAACGCGCGACTTGTGTTATTGTTTCTTTATATCAGTTTACTGCTAAATATCCTTGAAAAAGATAGTCCTTAATCACGAAAACGTTGTATGGTACCACACAATCTGCATTGCTGTCTCTTGTTCCATACAAGTCCACTCTGATGTTTGATGCTTGCTTTATGTGGACTGGCTCCTGTTATAGGATGAGTCGTCGCCTTCACAGATACTCTGTACTATGCCTGACAATAAGCGATGGCCACAGACCAGATCTGCATCGATCGAACTCCGAGTCCACCTCCAGCAACGAATGTATATTATATTTTGAGATTGCACCTCTCCACATCTGACTGGACGGTACTGATCCAGATTACAGTTGCCCTTCGAGATGGTAGTGCCACTTTGAGCAAGGCGAAGCAGCCACGTACAAGTCCCGTCGAATCAGTACGGAAAATATCTCCACATCATTAGGTAACTCTGCACTTTATTTAAGCAGTGCAGTTCTCGCTCCGTCTTCAGGCATAGAGCACGTGTGCTTTTTACTCCGAGCCATGTTAACTGCGATAGTTACTTTTATGACCAGCTTTGACCGCCCATTAGCTTACCTAAGGATTTTTTCGGAGAACGGTGTGATACCGAGGTTTATCGGAGAGAGTGTAAGCTCTCCTGGTGAATGTTCGGAGCACCACTCACGGACATTCCAATTTCGTTCCTCCAATGCATCGAGTGAAACAAGGAGAATCCACTTTGTGTACCACCTACTATGAATCAAATTACTTTTGTACTCATGGCTTCATTTTCAAGGAACCCTTGTTTCGCCCAAAACGTTGCTCTATGCTCTTGCTGGTTACCCAGTTCTCATGTTGCCACTAGAAACGAAGCTGCTTGTCTTGAGAACTAAATATAGACTTCCATAGACTTCGCTATGGGACAGGTTTAATCTAGAAGTGTTTTCGAATAATTGACTTTTGGTGCTCTGTTTCTGCATATTCATGCCACCAGTTGTTATTAAGGTGACCATTGTACCTGTTAGCACGCTTTTTTACCCTCCCTTCCCCGGTCAACGTGTGACGATCAGGTTTTGCGTCTACTTTCTTTCAGCTGTGGTTCTATACAAGACAGAATGAGGTCAGAAGAAATGATGCATGTTTTGACGGCAATGTCAAACCAGGACACGTTGGACTGTTTACTTGCCATGGTCTAGGTGGCACTCAGTTTTTCGAATACACCTCCGTAAGTCGCCTCTTTGCGATGATGTGTTTCTGGGAAGGAGAGATCGTTAGTTATTTTGGACGTTATACATGGTGGGTGCCCATCCGAACTCAATGGTTTCTAATGAAGGAGAGATCGTTAGTTCTTTTGGACGTTATACATAGGTGGGTGCCATCCGAACTCAATGGTTTCTAATATGATATCACCCAGGGATGTGTGTTGGAGTGAATTCACAAGTGACATGATGTGAACTGTCACGTGTTTTCCCCAAATACCAGCAATTATTATCCTAAAGCAAGTACCAGGAGGTTTGTACAAATCCTTCGATCACGCCCTATATTGCATGCCATCCACAACGATCAACACTTAGAAAACCAATACCTCGAACGGAATTGATGGATATCATCCATCATTCTTTCCACGAATGATTGCTGGTCAAATAGAGCAACATAGATGCATCCACTGCGCGCTGGTAAACATGCTTATTTTGCATGTCAGCTGATCAAATTTCAAACGACCGAAAGTGTGTATCGCTGGTTAACTCTGAGTTGAAGCTTGATCAACTCTTTTTTGTAGATAAACAGTGGCAGGGCATAGGAAGTCCCGTTCGAATAATGATAGGTCACTTCATCCCGGCCGGACACCGATTTTCAACCCGTAGTTATCGCTTCAGTGCACTAAAAACAACGGCGGGTTTACATGTGTAAAATCACAAACTGCACGTTACCATAAGACTGTTTTCTTTGGTTAGATTTTTGGAAGGTGAATAATTTCAGGGAAGCCATCAAATGTAGTGAGTGTAACGCAGCTAACTGCAAATGAATCAATCAAAAGCGTCTTCCACCATTCCGAAATCAACTACCAGACCCTTCTGATCTCCTTTTGACCCGCGGGGCTTGCACTGCCGATAGCTTACTTATGAATATAGGTACGGGAATGATATTTTTTTTACCAACTGGAAGTTCCCAGTTCACTTGTAATGTGTGTACGTTTCACAGTTGTGCGGTTTTCTCCGCTAAGTGTGGTCATGTGATCCGGTCGTATTCATAGTGGTTGGTTGGTTGGTTCGCTGGGCTAGGCAAGTAAGCGGCAAGCGTTTCATCATCAATCGAGATGGCATCATCGGTCCGCCTTTCGGAAGTAGAGCGTAGTGATGTGTTAGTGGCGCTGTATTGATCATATGCGGGGTCGCAAGTATTTCTAAGCTTCACTTTTATCCTGAATCATTTTCCAGAAGTCTAGCCTCAAAAGTAACCATGTGGTAGCGTGTGCTCGTCGATTTTACGCACACGCAGACAGTTTTCGGCAGGTGCAATGACAGAGAAACTGCAGGTGAAAAATCAGTACGCGTGTATTTATTCAACACCTCGTTTTAGAGTATAGTGTTTCAGTGCGAAAGTGTATCGGGGATTCCATTGTCTAAATGAATTGTCAATTAATCAATTTATCAGCTATATCCATGTACCATAGGCACATTAATTCCAGCTGCTACAGCTTCGATCATCGGAAAACAGGAGAGTGTGGGACATACAACCGAGGCTTGAAGGTGATGACATGTTCATTTTGTTCGGAGCTTGGATGGCTACGCATTGGAGGCGATAGCTCGACGCATGAGCGCCACTGTATGTGACTGGGCCACTTCTGCCAGTGTCAATAGCCATTGGTGTGTTGAGTCCCGGGGCCTCCATCCGGGGAGACGGGAGTTGTTGACCTGGCCAAGTTTACTGATTGACCCGCGGGGCTTGCACTGCCGATAGCTTACTTATGAACATAGGTACGGGAATGCGCAGGCCTGGTTGAAAAGAGCTCTGCGGGGCAGGGTTGCGGAGTACATGTCCTAATCAGCGCAACTCATTAAGCGTGAGTAATTCATCCATCGCTGGAGAGTTTTCCGTCCTAACGCCATCTGCCGTACCTCAGTATTGCTAATCCGACGTTCCCACCAGACCTGACCAATGATTCAGAGACACTAATAATCAAATACGGACATCTTCCGTATGTCCTTTGTGCGTGAAGGCCACGTCTCTGATCCATAAAGCAGGATGGATCGCACCACCGCAATGTGCACTCTGTTCTTGGCAGACTAACTGACATGGGCGCCGTAGGTGTCGGAGGTTGGCAAAAGCTGTCCCGGCGTTCCCGATTCTAGAAGTAATCTCATGTCCAGCCAGTCCACAGGAGCTTATACAATTGCCCAGGTAGACAAATTTATCAACCAAGTCGATTTGCTCGCCTGCAAACACGATGTTTGGGTTTGATCAGACCCAGTCTTATAGCAGCATTTTACACTTCGCAGGTGTGAAGCGTATGCCAAAACGTGTGGCGGAGTTATTTGGGTTATTTAAAATCGTTTGCAGATGGGCAGGATCTGAACCAAGGAGAGCACTATCGTCTGCATACTCAATGTCTGTGAGGGAGCGTTCCGGGAGCACTTTGACTCCCAGGGTTTCAAAAGCAGATAGAGAAACTTCAAGCAGCATATCAATAGTAAAGTTGAAGAGGAAATGGGAAACAGGAAAACCACTGGAAGTGGTGAACTTCCGTATACTCGTAAGCGCCCACAGGAATTCGCATACAGATCCTTCCTAAGGGATCCAAACAGACACTGCCAAAGTCTGTGACAATCGACAGAACCGAAAGCAACCGCTTGAATAGAATATTTTTCTGCTATTTCTCGATGAACCGTTTCTAATTCGCCATCAATTCGTGTTGTTTTCCTGGTACCAGAATCTTCACTTTTGGTCTATTACTTCCGAAGCTATAAAGCATGTTTCCGAGTTATCAGTTCACCACAATTCTTCTGTTGTCAATTGACTGTTTTCATTCAGGAGCAGTTTCCAGAAACTGGTCACTAGGATACAAAGACCAAAGATGTATGTGCGAAACTGAACGTTCCTAACATTTAGCTCAGTGATATCACCGCTGATCGGAGATTCTATCGCATTGACCGCTCCAATAGTTCTGTGCCTATTTAATGGTCGAAAATTGTTCACCCTCCTTACTATTCATGGTTGACTTTCTCTGTTTTTGTGGATGGGCTCGACGTTGCAGAACTGCCATATTTCTGAGCTACAAACCGACCATTAGCCGGAGCACACTCCCTTCCCAGGGTGGTGATATTCTAACCATAGTCAAACCATGGTTTCAGTCATGTGCAAATTTACTCGACTGGGTGGCATGCTTTTCGTAGAAGCACTCACCAGCTGCGCTTACTGTCTTAGAATGTGTTTCTACAACTCATCAGTGCAGGAATCTTGTAAGGGTTGCAAATACCAGTCTATTTGGACGGCAACATCTATAAGGTGGATTGATTTAATATTTACGGGAACAGATCACAGTATTGTATCGCATAGCATCTTTCAGCTGCCATGCCATACTCACATCACCGCCAAACTGGTCAAGGCTAGTCAAGAGCGGTCGAGATGTTGAACTGGGTTTGAACCACGGATCTTCCGGTCAATAATTTCGCCCATGGTCCACTGAACTGTGTCACGCAACTCTTCAGCAGTTTTCCACCAATGCATTTCTCAAAGTCAAACTCCGCTTATATTGATCGGTCTGTTCGTTTTATCTTTTATTTCAATGTGCGGATTTCGAAGATGCTTTGCATCAGTCGATCCGTTAAGAGTATCTGATTGGGTTGTTCAACCATGACAGCATCATGCTTC